GGTTGTCTCGTGGAGATCGTTAGTAGTGTGTATTCTTGCAACACACCACACCGCCTGACACCACTTGAAACCCCCGTAGCCTCGTTGCCGAAAACAATCGCCACTTCGAAACTCGCGTTGACCGAGAAACTTGGGAGCTTATTAAAATTATACACGCATTTGGAAACAATGAGATTTATTGATTAATCGACTTACTAAACTATACAGTTATGGCTGAGAGCAAACGAATTTAGAAATTTAAGTTAGAACAAAAGACATAAAATTTAGGTTAAAGGGAGCGCGGAGTCGCGTCTGTTTTAATTAAGATTTCAACGCGGACTGCCTTGTTCCTTCGTTGTCGGCAGTGCTGATGCGCCTCGTGGACCAATCAGCGTTCAGCGTAGTCGCTGAGCGGCACCCTGCGCAAGGCTCGACCTCTTTGCCCGACAAATACACTCCCCAACGGAGGCTAGCTCCGTCAGCAGAAAGCCCGAGTTAGCACCGGATATGCGCATATTCCAGCTTCATAACTTTTGCTACTAGAATAATGTTATAATTTAGACGAGGTTGGAGATAGTTTGGCGATGCTGGGATATTCATATGGAGACTCAATAATCTTCGAATAATTACTGAAATAAATATTTATTAAGTTCCTGACCACTGGTTTGGACGATGATCATATTGATATATTTACTAATGTATTGACAAAGGTGTTATAGTTGATGTTAACACCAAACCAGGCCATTTATACAAATGTGGCAGTTACTCCTACCCTGCCAATTCCTTATTTAATTATCACATTTCCTGAGCAGTCGATTAAAATGAATTATCAAGAGTACAAACGGCTAGGCCGTTACAACATATTTAAGTTCTGGCGACGATTCTGCAACTTAGGGTGGCGATAATATATAAGACCAAGTATGTAAAACCGCCCAGACCCCAATTTTTAAGGACCTTGGTCACCCGTAATGACGTCATCAAAATGGCGCTCGTAAGAGGATGCTGGGTCGCTATGAAGTGGTTATTATACCAAAATGCCTGAACCGATTTTAATGAAATTTGGCATACAAGTGCTTGAATACTATATCTAATCCCAGTTTCTCAATGGTCGAGTTTGATTAGGTCATTTTAAAATGGCGGCCGTTAATAATTAAAATTTGTTTAATGTTTTGTTCTTTCAACTCTCTCCAGAAATCTGCAGCGATCTTTAATTTTCCTTGCAATCACAGGTTTCGATGCTATCTCTGCATTTCATGGAATAGGCAAAATACCCCCCACTGCAGCAAACCTGCAGATTAAGTGAGTTTCCATTTGCATGATTTGATTTTCAATTAAATCCATTTCAATAACATTAAGTTTAGTGTTAACTAGGTTTGCTGCTACGGAAAGGATAATAAAGTGTGTTTTTATAATTAAAACATGAATAGCTTAGGTAAAAATAAATAAATTTGCCAAGTTTTATCAAAATATATCCCTAAACGAGTAAACTACAACAGTTTACTTATTCTCCATAAGAATAAAATGTGATTAATTTACAATTTTTGAATTTTCTCGGTAGGTAACCAATATCCGTACAAAAACACTTCAATAAACAAAATTATTTGGTTTTTAAGGTATTCAAATTCATCATGTTATCAAAATTGGTTTAGAGAGAAATTGGAAAATGTTATAGAGGGTTAAACATGACAAAACCCAATTTTGACCCCATAAGTCCCCCCAAAAACCCCGTTCCCATGGTCTGATCATGCTTGATTGCAAACTCATTAGAATCAATCCAAAGATTTTTGTACTTTTCTATATGACATAACATCAAACTTTAACAGCGTTAATGACTGTAGACGTGTACTTGTTAAAGAACGTTTAGCTCAACTCAAGTAATAACTTAAGCAAAAATTACCCAATGTTGACGAAATTTGGTAAAAACGTGTAAACCTACGTTTACTCGAACGAGTTCGCGAACCAGCATGATCGGACCATGAGAACGGGGTGTTCTGGGGGATTTATGGGGTAAAAATTGGGTTTTCTCATGTTTGCCCCTCTAAACGTAAAATTTTCGAATTTCTCTCTAAACTATTTTGAATACCCTGATTAGTTATTTTGCTAGTTTATGGTTATATTTTGATAAAATTTGGTGAATTTATTTAACCTATTCATATTTTAATTAACCCTTTGATTCACAGTGGTATTATCAGGATACCACTTGTAAAATAATTTTTACTGCATTGATGCATACTGGTATTGTGGAAATACCATACCAGGGGCCTAGTCAGTGCTGTAACCTAGCGTATTTTGGAGGAACTAGTAGCTTCTAGATTAATTTAGTATTAAAGTTGAAGTTTCAAAGCGTCGTTGCATGCTACAGGCTACAGGCTGTTATGCAGAGGTTTTGACTGTCTTGTATACCCTTCTATTACATATAACAAAGTAAGATATATGTTTTTATGTTGAATTAGACACTATGTAATTGTTATATTGCGTCAAAAACACTGTTTTTGTTCAAACTGAAAGTTTATTTTGCCAAATATAGGTGGTATACCTACAATACCACTATGCTACTAACACTAGACATATTTTGTTGTTGCCTTACTAAGCTAAAATATAATTTCAAGCATATTTTGTGATAACTTTCGTTATTTTTTTTAGGTAACTCAGTCATATAAATTTTACTTACTATATTTTAAATATTTATTTATTATTCTCAGATATCCAAAAGACATGACTGAAGACATCTTACTAACAGAAATTCTAAATGACGGTTGCTAAGATGAAATAGGTTTATCAGATAATTGACCAGATGACAGTAGTCTCTCTTCAGCAAATATAATCATCTTCATTGATGAAAATACATAATTTATTTTTATCATTATAAATCACCTATTGCGTTTGGAATCATAACCCAGGTGAAGCAATTCCGTATCTCCGTCACGAATGGCTTACACTCAAAATCGACGAAAGGCAAAGGAAATGCTAAATTAAATTTGATCAAACATGAATTTAAAATGCCAGTAGAAAAGAGGCTCAAGGAGAACGTTCACATGCCCATAATATCAACATGGACGAGATGCAACTTATGCAGAACAAAAGAGAAAAAGATTCGCTCATACTGGGAATGTAACGAGCGCAAAGTGTGCTTATGCTAGACAGACAAAAAATGGTTTTTATGAGTTTCACAACTGAACTAAGATAAAGATTAATCTTGAATCTTAAGATTGGAGAATACGATGTTGTACAATGATTCTCTGGAAACTTGTTATTTTATAACAGACCTTCAAATGTATTCAGTATTGTCATACAAATGTATTTACGAGTACTAATATCTTGAGCTAATTTACTATTTTTCACATAGATTAGATAAGTAATCTTTTTATTACAATACATGAACAGGTAAATAATTGTTTCTTATCTGTAACATATTGGTAGGTTTTACGTTTCAAGGAAGGTTTTTAATATTTTATATGCACATTAGACTACGCACTGATACACAGTGGTATATATAGAATACCACCTCGTTTTTTATTAATAAAAATTATAAAAACAAAATTAAATTTTTTAAATTATTTTTCCTGAGCTCTGACCAGCTCTGACACGGTTAAGGTTACCAAAAAACATCAATTCAGTAAAAATTGAAATAAAAAAATTTTCCTGTGCATCAAAGGGTTAAAAAACAAACTTTATTATTCTCCCCGTAGCAGCAAACCTAGTTAACACTAAACTTAATGTTATTGAAATGGATTTAATTGAAAATCAAATCAGGCAAATGGAAACTCACTTAATCTGCAGGATTGCTGCAGTGGGGGTATTTTGCCTAATCCATGAAATGCAGAGACGGCGTCATTGCAACGAAAAAGAAAGATTGCTGCAGATTTCTGGAGAGAGTTGAAAGAACAAAACATTAAACAAATTTTAATTATTAACGGCCGCCATTTTAAAATGACCTAATCAAACTCGACCATTGAGAAACTGGGATTAGATATAGTATTCAAGCACTTGTATGCCAAATTTCATTAAAATCGGTTCAGGCATTTTGGTATAATAACCACTTCATAGCGACCCAGCATCCTCTTACGAGCGCCATTTTGATGACGTCATTACGGGTGACCAAGGTCCTTAAAAATTGGGGTCTGGGCGGTTTTACATACTTGGTCTTATATATTATCGCCACCCTAAGTTGCAGAATCGTCGCCAGAACTTAAATATGTTTCTGCTACCCATCCCCACTACTAAGCTGTCAGTGTTAAGTCAAAACGATGATGGAGAAGAACGAGTTAGAGACCCTGACGATTCTATGGAAGGTGATGATGCATCAGTGATGAACAATATGACACGTGGTGGTTAAAGAGGCGTAACTGCCAGTTTATTGGTTAATTTTACTCACAGCTTTAACATGTGACACAGACTCATGATCAATTTTGTAATAGGTGACTGATATTAATTAACTGTATTATTTTACCTGAATTAATTTTTCATATTTAGTTTTTCATTAATAAATTAGTCTTTTTCTGATAAACTGTCGGTTTTATTGCTTTTATTATGTTCTTTTTCGATTCTGCATCCTAAGAAACATAGAAAACGACACCTCACTTGCTTGGATCCCATAAATAAAAATTTTCTCAAAATCACTACCCCCATAAACTTAAAACCCCATAAAATGGTACTTCCATCCCCACAATCACTAGGGACTCTTCAGATTCCAATACCTAATGGTAATTACTACGCAAGTTTTATGAATGGACTAATTTTTATGTTTTCTTAGGTGAGTTTTACCATAGATAAAACATGGTTAGTCTATGGTCGAGTATGTTTTATCATAGACTAATATGTTTTATCTATGGTTTTATCTATGACGCTACACTACTCTGAGAGTGGAGTGGACGTGGTGACTGGAGTGGAGAGGAGACTTCCCCTCTTCTTCTTGCTCACCACAAATCAAACAACACTCCACTCTCACTCACCATCATCACTCACTCCCACTCCACTCCACTCCCACTGGCAGTGGCACGTCACAGTTGGAACAGGTTGAGGTTAGAATAATAGAATTTTTCAATTTCAAATTTCATTCATTTCATTCGCATTCGCCTAGCCTTGCTTGCAGTCTTAAGTCTTACACACAAGAAAAGTCGAAGTTGACTATATAAGCATTACTACATTAGCATTCTTTAAGTTACTTCAGGAGTGTCAGAAGCAGGGTAAGATATCATAAAAACTCTTTATAACCTAGGCCTTTGGCAGGAATGTGAAATTCGCAAGATGTAGCCGAGTTATAGCCGGCGGGGGCGGGTACAGTTTCATACTGAGCTAGGCCTAGGCCTACCCTAATATAGATTTTTTAAAATGTCGATTAATAACAGTAATTTTTAACAGTAGGTCTATGGATGGGAGCGTTTCATAAACTCCAAATTTCACAAACTCCAACGCTTAAAATATTAAATGAACAGCGTGTTTCATAATGTCCAAATTTCATAAGCTCCAAAACTATAACATTCAAATAATCACTAGTTCACAATGTCCAAGTTTCACAAACTCCAACGTTTAAATATTAAATAAACAGAGCGGTTCATAACCTCCAAATTTCATAAGCTCCAAATCTATAACATTCAAGTAATCACTGTTTCACAATATCCAAGTTTCACAAACTCCAACGTTAAGATACCAAATAAACAGTGCGGTTCATAATGTCCAAATTTCATAACCTCCAACGGAACAGTCTGGGCCAGAAGTCTCTACAGTGGTTGCCACAGTCAGATAGCAGGCACCGTTCGCCAGCGCTCAACTACTGATTATACGTGCATTTTAATGATTGAAGAACACTCAGCTGGGTAATTCTGAGCAATTACTTGGTCAACCCCAATTTTTTTCATATTTTACTACCGTCATCAGGAGGTTCTCAGAAAGCAAGAAACATAATTCAAGGCCCGCAAGGCCATCGCACAGGTTGCCGAGCGATAAGAAGGTTCAAAGTCCAAGCGATAACAGTGGCTTGCGGGAGACGCGCGGAAGGCCAGTTGTGACAGTACCGTTATGGCTATGGCTAGTGGTTCCTCCGACAATCCTTTTCTATGTGACGGAACCTAACCTAACCTAACCTAACTTATTATGTTTTTTTTAGTCTCAAATACATCTCTAAGGCCAATTGTAACAGTACCGTTACGTTAGGTTAGGTTAGGTTAGGTTAATTAATAACCTAACTTAACCTAACCTAACCTAACTTAACCTTGCGGGGCTTGAATTATTTGTTTCTTGCTTTCTGAGAACCTTCTGATGACCGTAGTAAAATATGAAAAAAATTGGAGTTGACCAAGTAATTGCTCAGAATTACCCTCAGCTGTGTGACTCAAATATGTGTTAGCACACAATGTGCAAATCAAATTTACATTTTTATATTTTTAATAGCTTTAATTCACTGAGTTTCTTAACTGTTCCGTCTCTCAATTAAAAAGCCACTACAAATATCGTTAGAGATTTTTTTAACGATGAAAAATTTTAAAACATATAAATATATTTTATAAGTATATTTTCTAATAGCTGTTAAAATTTCATGATGATTACATCAGTAGTTTTTTTGTTATGGCACGGCAACCTCTGCAGTGACTTCTGGCAGAGACTGTACCGTTGGAGCTTATGAAACTTGGAGGTTATGAACCGCTCTGTTTATTTGATATTTAAACGTTGGAGTTTGTGAAATTTGGACATTGTGAATCGGTGATTATTTGAAAGTTATAGTTTTGGAGTTTATGAAATTTGGAGGTTATGAAACGCACTGTCGGCATGATTTAATATATTAACGTTGGAGTTTGTGAAATTTGGACATTGTGAAACTGTGCTTATTTGAAAGTTATAGTTTTGGAGTTTATGAAGTTTGGAGGTTATGAAACGCACTGTTTATTTAATATTTTAGACGTTGGAGTTTGTGAAATTTGGACATTATGAACCTCACCCCTATGGATGTATCAATTACTAGCTGTTACCCGCGGGCTTCGCCCCGTATAAATTTGTACAAATTTACATTATTAGAGAACTAAAATTTTCATAGGCCTAGACAAAAACTTCTAATCAATGCCTATTAACTATTTTCTCTCTTACTTGATCGCCGTATAAATTATTGGTAATTATGTCGACCTCCAGTCAACGCTCTAAAAATATTTTTTTTTAAATCTGTTCGTTTTTTAGTGCTGATTCCAAAAATTATATTAATTTTTTGCGGAAACGTCCCGTTTTCCCAGAAAATTGGAAAAACGGGAAAAATATTTTTGCCCAAAACCCATGTTGTGGGTGTTCAAATTGTGTGGAAATTATATTCTTATACATATTTTTGTTCAGGAGGAATTTCCGCACAATTTGAGTACCCACAACATGGGTTTTGGGCAAAAAATATTTTTCCCGTTTTTCCCATTTTCCGGGAAAACGGGACGTTTCCGCAAAAAAATGAATATAATTTTTGGAATCAGCACTAAAAAACGAACAGATTAAAAAAAAAATTTGTAGCTCAGCGTTGACTGGAGGTCGACATAATTACAAAATTATTTCCATAAACTGAGTAGGCCTTTAAGTTAGAATGAAAGAGGCAGGAACCACCTGGAGGCATGTGAATAACTTTAAACTGCAAGTCTTTTTCAAATAATGTCAATTTTGTATCCATGTCAGAAAAAATAATAGAAACCAATAAAAATTAAGGGTACAGTTTCTTAAATGGGCTATGCTAATGTCGATTGAAACTATCGAATTGAAAATATTCATTAATAATCAATATTTTTAAATATATCTGTTATTAAATTAAACTATCATAACCTAACCTAACCAACCAAACTTGCTGATAGTGAAAAAATCGCATGAAGGTTTACTTATCGAATCAATAGTTTCAATCGAGGCCGATATTAGCGTAGCCCAGTTAAGAAACTGTACCCAAAATAAAATTACTAAAACACTGAAATTGTGTGAAGTTAATTTTTAACCTGTCTCACCACTGCACAAAATAAAGATACTTACTTGATACTTGAGATGTCCCACTAGCATCGCTCCTGCGACGTGGTTGTCAAATGGGTAGAAAAACAATAATAGGCCTAATTGAACAGATCTTCTACTTTAAAATAGGCCGCTTCACATAAATATTCCTTCATGTAACATCTTAAATTTATTGAAATTTTGCTCTTGGATAATGTTCCTTGGTAGTGAGTTGTAGATCTTGACACTACTAAAATATGGGCTCTTGCAGGCCAAAGTTGAGTTAACTTGGGGTACATATACTTGATTAGCTCTTCTCGTGTTGTACTGATGGACCAGATTGTTTGTGAAAAAGATGTCCGGATTATTTCTCACCAAGATGGCAGATTCTAAAATAAATGGTGATGGGAGGGTTAAAATTACAAGGTCCTTGAACAGGGGCCTACTGTGAGCAAGACGTTGAGCACCACACATTCTCCTAATAATTAGTTTCTGGAGGAGAAAGATCCTATTGGCCATGGTACTACCTCCCCAGAATACTATTCCATAAGATATTATACTGTGAAAACATCCATAATAAACTTTTAATAAAATGTCAGTCTGGACCAATTTCTGGAGCCTAGTAATTAAATTGATTACAGATCTTAATCTTGAAGCTATTGAATTAATATGTACATCCCACTTTAGATTTTCTGTTATGTGCAGGCCAAGATATTTTACATAGGTAAAATAACTAATGTGTAATGTGTTGTAAAATGATGTAGGGATAGGTGTCGATAAAACAAAACTTTTGCAAACTAACTTAACATAGGCCCTAGGCCTAACCTTACCAAACTTGCTAATTATTTAGGAAAATAAAAAAATGAAAGTTTTAAACACTTAACTAGGCCTAAATACCGAATCAATATTTTCAATCAATATTAGGGAAACTTAGAAACTATATACCCTACCGGTAGGCCTACCCATATTTTGCCTTATGCTTAACTTAACATTTGTTGAAACTTACAATAAAGTTTTGTAACAAATACTTAAACCAATATGTTAACTTAGGTAAGTCTAATTACACTGGGGCGTGCTAACTTTAATGCAAGCTTCCTTATCACGTTCGGTGCTAGGGACGGGAATTCAAGCCCCGCGGTACCAGCACCACTGGCGCAGGGCTGGAAAGGTCGTCCTTCTCCAATACCAACAACCTTGCTTCAATGTGAGCTCAGCCATTGCCGGGGAACGTTATAATCGTTGCCAGCCTGTAGCTTAGAATAATAAGCTTTAGTCTGGCTTTAGTCTGGTGTAGGTTGGTACTAAAATTTGTCGTAAAATCCCGTCTGGCAAAACTTGTGTCCTGGTTCCGGCAATTTTCTCTTTTTGAGCCACTTTAAAAAGACACTGGTTACGGATCCAGGCAGTGCTGCTACCTTTGGGTGTTTCAGTGAACTACGTCGACTCTCAGGCTAACGCAGCACAATCACCGCTGCTCTATTTTTATTCATCAGACTGAAATATTTGAATGCCAATTGCGTTCACTGATTCAGTTGTGCGGCGGGGCTTCGCCCGGGCCTTGCTGCCATTGGCGAGCGCCTGTTTGAAGGTATGCCGCACTGAACGTGTTAATTGAAATGTTTCTCATTAAATTTTAACTAAGTTACTACAAATACTGAGCTGAAACAGCTGGTAATTTTAATATAACGTAGGGCCAAAAATTTAATTTAAGTTAGAATACTGGTTATTCTTTAAGGCTAAAATCACATTAGATGCACGCTTGCACAAGTAATTTGGTGGCGCACGTGTGCGCAAGCTTGCCTGCACAGCATTGGGCTCTCACTGAATGCAAGCAGTTGTAGATAACTATTATAAACAGGTCAGTCTAAATGGAGATGACAGACTACGAGTAGGCTACATTGTCTTAGAAAGTGATATGTTGAAGTTTTTATTATTGGATGAGCAAGATATTAGGGACTAGTGGGTAAACGAGTATTTTGTGGACAGAGAGGAAGTATCACAAATCTTCAACGACTTGCTAGACAAACTGAGAAATTCTCTAGTACCGGTAAGTAGGTAGCTTACTTCAGATTACCGCCAGAGACTTTCTATTACATAGGTAGGCTATTGGACAAAATAACACCTACACCAAGCAGGCAACCTAATTTCTTCAAAGAGCATTGATAAAAATTTCCTCCTCAATAGTACAGAACGCCTTTTCCACTCGGCTCAATGTTTATTTTTCAACTGAATTCTGAACTGAAATCCTGCTACTTGCACATGCTTTCAACTTCGACTGGGCAAGCTTGTGCAAGCGTGCACTTGCTGGTGGCAGTACAGTGTGAGCGGCAATGGACTAAGCCCCCTTATCTCAGTCAGTTTTTGATTCTAGGCGAACGCGAGCGCTACCAAATTACTTCCGCAAGCGTTCGTCCAATGTGATAGTAGCAAATGTTTTCCAACCTAATTTAAAAAACTAGAATTTTGCAAGATCAATAAACCAAAAACACTTGCTTTAAAACACGGTGCATAACTTAGCTAGTGTTTGATTAAGTCCTAACAGCGCGTAGGCCTACCACTTAACCCAGTTAAGATTGCCCTCTCCTCTGTGATTCCCTTGCAGCCATTAATGTCGTTGACACAATTTTCTCAGCCAGTCGTTACTAACCCCCCACTCTCTAGTCTCTACCTACTAAGCATCTTTGTGCAATAAACTGTTTATTAACTAAAACTAGGCCTATTGTTGAACATTGTAAAATATTACAAAGGCTTTCATCTAAACTTCAATTTTTGGACACTTTAGAAAAGGTTTTAAAAACGGACTCTGTATTTGGATTCAGTATGCAAAATACTGTAGGTTAATAAAAAAGTCATAATAGCTACTTCACAGTTAGTTGATTTCTAAATAGCCTATAATTCGAAGCTAGTTTGTGTCAATAATTATGTTTCCATACAAATGTGCTAAGGTAAAATGTAGGCTGTTTTTCAAAAATTTCAATTAGTTAAATTATTTGTACTGTATCCTGTTACTTATTCTTTTGAATATACCTAGGTCTAAGTTTTGTAAAATACAAGTTATGATTGTTTGCAGGATGTCGCAAGGCCCGAATTCCGCGGCTCAAGCTAGTGGAATGGAAGTGGTTGTGGGGGATGTAGATCCTGATTTTATCACCTTTTTGTTTGATCCTGCAGAAGAGTACAACTGCTACTTCATAGTGGGAAACCCAGAAGTTGGAGACACGGTAAACTCATTATACAGTTAAAACATCTGATTATAGGTTGAGCCTACTTAGCTCTTGCTGTAAATATTGTTTAAAATTTATCCTAAATATAATTACATCATGCTCATTGGTCAAATGGTGAGTATAGATTGCCGCCCGCCATTTTGCTGACTGCTCAAAAAATGGCAACCTATACTCAAAAAAAAAAAAATGTAAAATCAAAAAAGTTTATCTTTACAGTTGAATGGCGAGTAGGCCTATAGTTCACAGGGCAGCATTTTCCCGACTGCTCAAATGGTGACCTAATGAAAAAAAATTGGACCTCAAAAAGGTTAATGTGGACTAAATACAGTACCATGTTGTCTGCATTTAATGATGATAATTAAAGAAATGCAGTGCTATTTCAGAACTGTTACGACAGTTTACTTAATCATTACCAAGTGATAGCAGTAGCTGTGGCTGTACTGAAAACGGACATGCTTCATATTGTCATCCATCAGAAACTTTGTTCACGGCGGCTATTCAGAATCAATACACCCTAAACAGTAAGCAACCACAAGACATACAGACAAGGGACACTCTGACAATGTCAGTGCTTTTATCTTTGCAAGCATTTCAGTTATTTGTATTATCATTACTGTTCTCTTTTAATACTATTTTTCTAGATAGACTATTAATAATTTTTTTTTCATGTTGTCTTTTCCTCAACAATCATTAGACTACAGGCTTGATTTATTTTGTTATACATTTCAGAGGAAATTTCCTTGTAAATTTTAGTTGAGACTACTGCGCACACACACGGAAGTTTCTTTTCTTCTCTTAGGTGTGAATATCTCTTCATAAGTTTGTGAGGTATTTAGTTCGGGTAAGGGTCACTAGCCTAAACTTACCTCAGATTTTTCGCTCGGACAGCTCGAGTACGTTCATTATTCGCTCGCCTGTAGCTGGATCCGTCGTTCACCGTCGGCCTTACAATGTTACTTTGCGTCGACCTACATGCACGATTGCACTATTGTTGTACGCCAATACAATACTGAATAACTGAATAACGCCAATACTGAATAACTTTACCACTATAACGCCCGGCAACACGGTGTCAGCACAACAATGCACTAACAAAGAACAGTTGTTCAGATATAACTACAAAGTAGGCGTGACCTAGGCTCGATAAAATAATAAGCTCTGTAAGTACATAAAACAATACTGGGTGCCGCGCAACTGAATCGCACAATGTCAGTACAATGTCAGCACAACGGCTGACTGACGAAAGTATAAGTCAAATCTGACATAGTACTACCATAATAACCTATACCTATGCTGAACAAAACAATAGCTTCTGAAAACAACTTAAATAATTCTCTCGTAATGTAACAGAAATTACCTCAAACGTTAGAATCGGTCCAGAAATAACGGAGGAGTTTTGTTCACAAAAAACAGCCCTCACGTATTAATATAAGAGATAATTATATAAACGAAATACTATAAGTTTGCGCTTGTATGCCAATACACTTCTTGGGACACACACTTCGAGATAATTAAATAAAATACTTTGTTTCAAATAAAATTAAACGGTGTAGGCTACTGCGACGCCGTAGTGACGACGTCGGGCAGTGAAATATACTACACAAGTTTCTCACATCCTATGATGACGTATCAAATGGATAAGTTTTACTCGCCAATGTGAAACGGGAAATGAATAAGGATAATAACGTAATGGTGTACGACAGTACTACGGTACTTAAATATGTCAATGTTTATTATTACTCCGTTCATTGTTGCCGCGTGCTCAAGCAGTGTGTGGCCTTAAAATAATAAAACGGAACCCATAGACTGAAATTTTACCATTACAAGTTTAAAAACAAATTGTTTTCATTCATAAAAAAGTGCCGTTCATAAGAAGCTACTGTACTTTAAGAACTTTTAATCTTAATAGAGATAAAATACTTCATAGTACAGGAGTTTACACAAGTATAAAGTGTAGAAATAAGATTTTTTTTAGAGTATCTATTGCATTTCCACTTAAATTTACGCTGATTTAGAGTTGCAATGCAATTTTTAATTCTGTTAGTTAGGATAAATTTCATCTATTCATTTCCATCTTACTTCGCAGATCTGTATTTTGATGACTCGGTCATTACATGTTTCCTGCCAATTCCCCCAATTAAGAGGCAAGGGTTGGTACGGTCAAGGAAAACCTGGAAAAGTCAGGAATTTGGTTCGCCTGGAAATGTCAGGGAATTATGAAAATATTCTGGAATTTCTCCTGAAAGATTGAATTTTTACAGATATATGGTACATTTTGCTCTGAACATGTTTTTTTTAGGGTGATGACTAATGGCAAAAAGAACAAGACAAGCATTGATGCATATTTTTATATTGATAGTTAGTTATCGGTACGGGAGAGGAATCAATATGTATGTAGGCCTAGTTTGAAACAAGTTTTGTATTTGGGAGTGATTAATTAAGTTAAGTATTTACATTTTTTCTAATCTATATAATTAATACGCTACATGAAACTTTGTCGGTTGAACTCCTCCGCCATTTCTTAACCGATTTTATCCATTGACGTCTCATTTGAAAGAGCGTGTCGCGTAGATTTGCAAACTGGCCTTACATTTTTGAATACGTCCCTTGGGCTCTGCCCCAGTGGCTTTGAAAGTTCCCATGTTATCCTTATGAAGAACATAATTGTTTACATTTTGATCAGCTGTATAATTTAATTGCTGTTATTTATTTTTCAATCCAATGAAACGCATTGATTACATTTATTTACTATTTGAGTTTGTGTAAACATAACCCCCAAGACGGATCGTGTTAGTATGGTTGTATCTAAAATTGGTGTATTTATCGTTGTTTTGTGTCGCTATGACGGATCGTGTTAGCATGATTCTAACTTAAATCTGTACATTTATCGTTGTTTTGTGTACCTATAATTTGTTTATTTGTTGTTTTTTTTTTCTTTTAAATGCCTCCGACGCAACGAAAACGAAACCTAGACAGGAGGCGTAATCGTGATTACGACCGCAGCGTGGACCGCAGCTACAGAACAGTGGCGCGTATTAGGCTTGGGCTTAACTCATCACAGTCAGCACCTGACCCTGGACAATCTCAACTATTAGGTTACAAATGCGCCATAATACTACCCCAAAACGACTTTTCGTTCTCAATTGGCCCTCTATTAATGACCTATGTTGCCTGTACAGCGAGGCATTTAGAGAAGGAGAAACCCGGCCGAAATGCTTTAGGTTTATCAATATCGAAGATAAACATGGTCTGAGTTACACACCGGTACCCGGTAATCTTTGAGTTGACTCTTAAACTCATTGTAAATATGACTGTTATTCGTTATGAAATAACTCCTGTAATACATTGCAATTAATTGCTCGAATTCGAGCAACATGTACGCTAGTATATCTTGATTTTGATTGGCCGATATCGACTCACGGTACCTGGAAAAAGTATAATATTAGTCAGGAAAACCTGGAAAAGTCAGAGAATTTTTTTTCCAAATTTAGTACCAACCCTGGCAGGGCCGTCACGTGGCTATTTGGCGCCCGGGGCGGGATATTGCCAGGCGCCCCCCCCCCCCCCAACACACAATGAGTGATGATGTCACTATCTTTGTTTTAATCCCCAAAAATAGACACCTAAAGGGACTGAATCACCTTACAAAAATACTAGAGTCAGGAATCAGGGATTGATTATTAGGGATAAATTACTTAAATTTTGTATGCAAATGTTTTTTAATTGATGGTAACCAAATCTATCCCTATTAATGTAAGAAAATGTTAAAATGTATAAAAAGTACTATACTGTATTACAGAGCAAATTGAAATTAATGCAATGTATGCAAAAGCTCAAACCAAACCTACTCTGAATAGAATTTTTATACAGAATAAAAGAAAACCACGTTATCATCCTAAACATTAAATGTAAACTAGAGAACCTGGCACACAAAATCGTGCGCAATTTAGACAAAGGAGAAGAAGGATTTGTATTGATTTTTTTTATTTGGCGTTATCTCGTTTCTTGGTTTTGTTGCTAAAGCTGGTGATGGTAAAAGGCCTAATTGAGTTCGCAGTTTACCTGCTGTTTTTGCAGTTTCTTTTGTGAAAGTCAGTAAAGATTCTTTTTGATTAATTGATTATAACCTAAATAATAAGCCAAACCCGTGTAACTGCTGTACTATCAGTTCACTTTAAAATTCACTGAACCCTAATAATGTGTTTTGCAGTGAATTTCAAAGATTTTTTGATAGATAGCAAATCTACGTGCCACAAACCCTATCCAACGACACCTCAAACTTGGTAAACGGATGCATAGCAGCTTCAAAACCATTATGACAAAAATATGCCTAGCGTATTAAATATATAGATAACTCGTCAAACTAAGCTGGCAGCTCAGATGAGACTGCCGTAGGAGAAAGGAGTGATTGGGGTAGGGGTGGTTCCCAAGGTGAACCGTCGGGCGAAATAAAAATAGAATACGGCAGCTACGTGTACAGAGCAACTCCGCAAACCGCGACATTGCAATGTTAAGATACAATTAAGACATTGCAATATAAAGATAATTAAGTTGAGACAGAGCCTTCAACTCCACAGTGGATTTGATTGTTTAGGCTATTATTACTAAATTCAATTCAATACTATATTGATATTCAATTTGAAAAACATTGCAAATTATAAAGTGATTGGTATCAAATAATATTTATTTGTTCAATAAAGGCATACAACATAGTATTCAACATTCAGTTACACACACAAATAATAGAACTAGTATTCGTGGCTATACATAACATTCCAAAATACGTTATGTGCATCTAACTTTTTTAAATTTTGTTGCATTACTTTTGCCGCGGCGCCCAGGGCGGTCGCCCTGGTCGCCCCACCCACGCGACGGCCCTGAACCCTGGTAAGGAACATGTAGACAATAACCATTGTTAAACACTGTAGCTAGCCGAATTGGAGACCAGGAATTGTGGGAGAAATTTGTTGAACCAGAAACGACAGTGAATTGTACTTCAACTTGGTATGGGCTGAGAGAGTTCATTCAATATTCTATCACCGATCCTCCATTCATTGACTGCATTCATTTGGTTCTTTTATAACTTAACAAAATCGTATTTACCAATGAGAGTGTTACTGCAACTGCGAGAGACGATTACAGTAGGCCTATCCCTGAGGTCGCAAGTGTATAGCAACGAGTGGTACCCTGAACGTCGGAAACAATCACGGTATAGCTGAGACACGGTATCGGGCCAGAAAAAATCTGCTTGCTACTGCGGACTCGTAGTTTGGAGAAATCTGGCTTGGATAAACCCACAAACACCACATCTTACAAAATCCTTCACTAATATACTGCTAACATTAGTTGTAACTTTCTTCTTATAACAGTACATTTCATATCCCACTGACTAGCTGCCATGTTAAAAATACTATCTATAATATAAGACTTTTAAAAAACTAAACTGTGAATTGTGTGCTCTGTTGAACTTTAAAGCCTCTCTTCGTAAATTCAAAACTTTATGCTGGACAACACAAACAAATTTTTTTTTTAAAGAAGTTTTTAGATAATTGAACAATTAAATATAAAAGTCAGTAAAACTACACTGAGGAAAAATACCCCTGTCGCAGCCTAAAAGAATTTCCATTGACCTGATTCAATTTCACTTGAATACTTCCTTAAACATGTCAGATTTATTGTAAGATATAAAATAACATATTGTGTTACAAATAGGCCTACTTATGCTCTTTGCTTCTTAACAATACAAACAGGAGATAAATAGGCAATATTTATCCAGGGATTATTTATTTTCTCATCAAAACTATTTATTCTTCATAATCAGTTATTGTTTGTTTGTAGGAGAGGATTGGTGTGGTGAAAAAGATGCTTCTAGCCCACTCTGTGGTTTTCAGGGCAGAACTACAGAATTCAAAGATTGCTGAAAAAAATGATGTTAAACTACTTGATGTCTTCCCCCAAACTTTTAAGAACTTACTAAGGCAAGTAAAATCTCCTGGCTAATCAGAAAAGTGTTGAATGGTTGCAAAATATTTTGGAAATTTACGATTTTTAAAATTTTTTGTTTTCAGATTTGTCTACGGCTACGATAACACTCAAAATTTGAGCTTTGATGAAGCAGACAACTTGTTGTACGTTGCAAACAAATATTTGATGTCCAAGTTAAAAAATAGGCTAGCAATACGCCTTATGTCGTTGTTGAACGTCACCAACATCTGCAGCCTTATGAATAATCCCGCTTGTTACACCGTTCTCGAGCTAAACTCTAGGATTAATAAGGTAAGTTTTATAATTAATTTGTATAGCCCCAGGATTGCATTATATGACTAAGTAGCAGAGTTACTACGCTAGCAGAGGACGGGTGTCCTTCGTACTGGGTTGGCATATAAGTAAACCATCCTTGAATAATGCTTAATAATGCCTGAAAGTTTCATTACAATATGTCGAGCGGTTTCGGAGTCCATAAAGGACAAACAAACAAACATACATTGAATTTTATACATATAGATTTGTATAGCCCCAGGATTGCATTATATGACAAACTAGCAGAGTACCCGTCCTTCGTACGGGGTTGGCATATAAGTATTAAATGCTTGTTACAGTTATGGGAAAGGACACGGTTTAAGAAAATTTGGTCTTTTAATTTATACGGTATCCTATAGTGTAGCACACATCTACCATAGCCCTAATGCTCTACCACTGCACCTAAACCATGGAAAAAGTTAAAGCTCTCATTGTGTACCACAACTTCTGTTGAATATTCCGAGAATCTACAAATTATCACTAACCAGGAAACTATAAAAAAGTTATTTTAACAAAAACCTGAATGATGTAGTTTATTCAAATTCAACTTTAACACTAACTAGATAACACGTTGCTCGAAATCGAGCAAAACTGAAAAAAACTGAAACTTGTATGTAAAAAATAAACTAAAAACATAAACAGCAAGACCTTAATCAAAGATTCACTCTAAAATAACTTATCTGACTGATTATAGAAATATAAAAATATTATGATGTAAAAAATATAAAAGTAATCTACAATATTTAAATTTACATTCACTCTCATACTACTTTGGTTATCTCTTATGTACAGTAGGCGGGTGCACTCTATGAGCACGTAGATGTCAACCACACACTGTAAATTTTGACCTAATGTAGCTCAATTCCTCTCTTGACACCAACCATAGCTCCTCTTATTCTAGCATTGTTAAATTATTTCTTTTATGTGTTCTGTTTAGGCGTGTTTAAATTAGGGGCCCCAACCCAAGTCTCCGGTTGAGAACATAAGAGGGTAAAGCAAGTGGATCTAGCGATAGATATAGAATGGATACGCGTTTAACATTATTAGTGTTGGAAAAAACTATACGATTTATTTGGCCAGGTGGTGCTTTGTTTTCAGCTTTAAAAATTGCTGCGACATCTACACAGGTAGCACCATTGTAGCGAGGGAAGACACTTCTTCTGTCTCTTATCATGTACATAACAACCTCACTTTGACACTTTGACTCCTCGGAGCTCTCGTCCCTACATAATGTCACATAAAACATACTACTATAATGTCTGCCACAGTCTTCAAAGATTTGCAAATGGGTTTGCGTTGTGACCCTATTTCCCACATATTTTTTCATTGAATTTTTTGTTTGAATTGTGCTTAATTCTCTTTTGGTTTCTAGTGACATTGTCGTACTTACTTATATATCTATGCGTATTCAGGATCATCACCTTCTTGAGGAATTAGAGGACCCACTCGGTGGTAAAACGTGTCACGGACCTTAAAATTGTAGATCCCCTGTGGAACTTTCTCATCTTAATGAGCTTCGGAGCTGACAATGGTAAAGGCAGAATTGAATTAACGAACTTTATCCAAATAGTTTCCAATAAGAACCCGAAGGTATGGTGAATTGCACAAATGAGGTAAACGAACCTTTAATTTATGGCAACAAAGATTAAAAACTTAACTGTTTCGGCCAGTCTTTTCTTGCTTAAAAATATGTAAGCCACTTCAATGTAAACATTTAACGTTAATTTGTCCGAGATTGGACTATCACAACGGTGGTACTACCACTATAGTATATACCCATCAAATGTTTAATTGAGAGGCTGATGCAAGCGGTCATGTTTGCGTTCCCTCCAGCCACTCAAGTTCTTCGTCGTACTGGCGGCATTTGATTTTAAATTGAAATGAAATAAGGAAGTTAACCAAACAACAGAAAACACTATAAAGGAATTGGAATTTTGATTCACATTGTAAATCACATGATAATATGGTAATGTAACGGATAACTGCCCTGCGAATAATCACTTTTAAACATTCACTTCATCACAGAACTTTAACTACATGATAATCAGTAAAATACGATGTAGAGTAAATCAATTTAACCATAGACAAAATAATTAAATATTTATTCTTAAACTCTTCATTATGAACCAGACTTAGTTAACAGATTGAAACAAAATATAAATTCCAGCTTTGCTCTGGAAGTTTTAAGTCCTGCAGTCTGTGGTTAACCTTAAAAACTATTTCAAACTACGTCCATATGTTATTTGTAAACAAAGGGAATGAGTTTGATCAAATGTCAACAGAGAGCGCCACCTTCCAAACTTTAGCCCTTTAGTGTACTTAAGTGATGCCCTTTCTTAATATTCTGAGACGTATTTGCACATCTACGTGGAAATACCTTTAATTTGACACCTCAAACGTTAAAATCCATCAAGCCGTTCTTGAGTTATGACTGTGAAAAGAAAACTGCTTGCGTATTAATATATAGATAACTAATCATCTGTTAATAAACAATAATTAATATTAAACACAGACTGTTAGAAACATGATTAGAGATATTTACTAAATCTCAACAACTTTTTGTAGCTAGTTGGTTCAAATTATCTGTTGTCATAAATGCAAAACACTTAATTGTGCTGCACCCTGTTGGTAAGCCTAATAACTTTCTCTCCCTAGTATTTTGAGTGCAACATATAGCCTATATTGTTTTGAAAATTACTAGAATGACCAACATGTTCTTGTTGGATATAATAAGTACCCCTTTTGGGATGAGGAACTTTCCTCCTCTGCCCGATCTCTGAGAAATCAAAGAGCACCAGGCCCTGATGGCAGCATTCCTGTGGAAATTCTCATACTCATCGGTGAGTAGAATCCAAAGCTACTTTTTTATATATTCAACGCCTGCTTGGCAGACAGCGTTTTTCCGTTGGTGTGGAAGGTGGCCCGCCTTGTCTTAATAACCAAGCTGAAGAGTGCACCAGGAACTCCCTTTTCTTTCTGCTCCCTGTGTATGCCTGACACCGCTGGGAAAGTGATGGAGAAGCTAATTTGTGTCAGACTGACTAAGGCAATCATCTCTGAATGTGATTAGTCCCCACATCAGCACGGTTTTCGTTCCGGTCACTCAACCGTTGACGCCATCCAGGAAGCAGTTGAGTATTGCAGGCACAGCCGAGCACACTTTCTTTAATGACAGGTGGCATGTCCGCTGTGATCTCTGAGATCGACTTTAACTCCCGACAACATCGTTCGGGGAGAGGGAACCTGGAACTGTGTACAGCAGTTCACTGAGGCCATACTTTGGGCTGAGAAGGCTGATCTTGATCGGCCTTAGCTTTCGGATAAAATAAGAAGGAAAGCCCTAGTGGCATAGTTTAAAAGGTCTAGCCTGAAGTAATGTGCTAAACAGTTCCAGGCTAGTGTCCCAGGAGATGAGGGTGTCTTTTAGCCGGTAGTCTAGGGATGAGCCCACGGTAGTCCGGCACTACTGAAAGGCCATTGAGCATCTCAGTGTGCGTAAAAGCATTTTTACCTCCACCCTACAAAAAAAAATTAAACGTAAGAATGAGCAGCAATAACGTAGAAAATGAAAATCACACAGGTTTGTGAGCTGGACAAGCTATCTGCAGAACGTAAACCATTGCAGTGTCAGTTTTTTTTTTCTTTTTTTTTTCATTACAGTGTTTTGATGTAGACGTAGACATGATTGTGTCAAGTGATAGCTCAGGTCAAAGTCAAACTAAATGTAGTTTAACCCATTTAAATCGGATGCCGTACTAGTACGTGAAGTCCGTGATGTATAGTATCTCGGCTGACGTACTGGTACATCAATTGGATTTTTTGCAAAAAATTTAGGCCTACCATTTATTTTTTACTTCTACTTTTTTATACCTTTCTTAAGATGTCAACCCCGGACCACGTCAGATCATTGTAGAGTAGTAAGTACTTCATTTTGACTGGGTATAAATTTTTGGCCGCCATCTTGGATCCACCATATTGGATACAAAGTTTTTTTTTAATGAACAGGTAGGGTTGTGACCCAAAACTAGAATTCTACGCTGAGTACAATGCCGCAGTTATAACAAATTTTCAAAGACTAATTTTTGAAAATTCGTTATAATTTTGGTCCCAACTTGGTTATAATTGGTCCCAACTTCATCGGTTAGTCGAGAGTGTATTGTATCATACTAATATTATAAATGTGAAAGTTTGTGTGTTTGTTTGTTTGAAGTTCAATCACGCATTAACTACTGGTTGGATTGGGTTGAAATTTGGTATGATGATAGCGATAGCTCACATTCCCGGTTAACATATAGACATATTCTTATCTCAAAAATCCTTTAGGGCTCCGCCCCAGTAGGTGTAGAGGTTCCCATGTTAACCTCACAAGTATTCATATTTAAAAGTAATTAAAGAATTTTGCCAGCTGTTTCAACTACACAAGTTGGTTCTATGATATGCAATAGCATTAAAAGGTTATAAGGATTACCAACAGGGTGCAGTACTATTAAGTTTGTGTTTTAATTTATTAAAGATTGTATTATATTGTGCAAATATTTTATTATTTATTTTTTTATCATTTAGGTGTAGTGGTAGAACATTATGGCTATGTTAGGTGTGTTATAGCCACTGAGCTAAAATTATAACTGGAGGTAGCACTGCCATGGCAGAAGTCTGTCAAAAGCGTGTCGCTGATTTTGTTAGGTTGGTATAGCAGTAAGTTTTCTTATCATAGCAATGACATGGCTTCTTATAACTAGGTTGGTATAGCAGTGAGTATTTTTGTCATACTTGAATATTTTTAATACTTTAATAATTTTCTTTGAAATGGCGACCATACAAAGTAGGTATTTTAAGCCAAGTATAATAATAGTTATAGCAATAATATGGCTTCTTATGACACCAGACTCACGCAAACATGGCGGCTGGCGACACGCATCTTTGACATTCAGTGCTACCTCCAGTTAGAATTATAGCTCAGTGGTTATAGCATACCGTAAATTAAAATAACCAAATTTTCTAAAATCATGTACTCTCCCATTGCAAACGCAAAGCACGAGTATAACTGCAATAAGCGTTTTATACTCATATGCCAACCCCGTACGAAGGACGGGTATTCTGCTAGTTATTCATATAGAATGCCCATGTAATGGTTACATAGTGCAGTATTTAATTGATATTTACCTCTAGCAAGGTTGAAATGATTGTTCTTGTATTCAGATACTCCAGACGGAAACAGACAAGGTTCTGGCTAGTCCTCTGTTTCCTGACCTGTCTCCCCTCGGCTTTCTAACAATCCTGCAACAGGAGATGTGCAACGTACCTGAAATTGACCTTTGGACCTCTGCCATTGAATGGGCTAGGCATAGAGGTAATTAGTGTTCTCACACAATTTGATGTGTCTATTTATATATAACAATTTTTTTAAATTGATAATTGTTCACAGTTTTTCTCAAGATTTTATATACGCTCTGCTACAAACAGGGTAAATCCTCTTTCAATTGCCTGTTAGGCTTTTACTAAAATATTTCATCAAATATATTAAATTATTCCCAATTAATTATTTCATCATCTATTATTAACATTTTATAGAAAACCCACTTTTTCCCTTCAGCTTTGCAACTTAAAAGGAATGTGTCTCGTTTTACCTTCGTCTAGTTGTAGTTATGTCTAGTTGAACCTTACTGACCTAGGGACAACTGTAGGTACAGCTAGAGGTAGGTACAATTAGATGGTGGCGTACCCGACAAGTTGTACCTGCAGATTTTTAAAAGGTACAACTTAAGTTGTATCACCCAGATTGTATGGATGTGACTTGTTGTACCTACGTCTAGCTATATCAACGACTGGTTGTGCCGATGAGTAGTCTAGGTCTAGTTGTATCTCCCCTTTGATTTGTCACCTTGTTTAAATGGTTACTGAATGAATTCCTAGTTTAAATGATGCCCTGTTGTTTATGATGTCCGGATCCAGAGGGGGGCAAAGGGGGCGCCCCCCCCCCCCTCGGGCATACATCTATTCTATTACTTATTTAATACGCAAGCAGGATTTTTGTGACAATTACTCCTTCGAAACTACTGAACCGATTGACATGTTTTTGATCTCATTGGAAAGAGCGTAACGTGAAGTTGTGCAGGAAACTTTCTTTTTAGGGAAATAATTAGAGATTGAGGCCCTAGAGCCCTTTAAAGTTTTGTATTTCTCCATAAGGATAACATGGGGAGATAATTTTTGTTTACAGAAACATATGTTTGTTACTTGAAAATAGTCAAAGTCTACTACATAATAATTGCTGTGTATTATGACTGTTAATGTATACTACATTTCAATCAAGGATTGTGTACCTTAAAGTTTACTCTTAATGGATCTTACTACTTTATTTTAATGCTGGTAATAGTAAAATTTAGTTGAGAATAAGTTACCATGATTAAGAAAACTTTACGGTACCTATAATAATTTATGTATTTGAAATCACAAATCTTTGACATTATTAATTCATTTGAAACTAAACAGCTGATCGACAAATCAAACAAATCATCTACTTCATGTGGAATGTTGTTACACAAACATAGTTTTTTTTTACCAATACTGTAACTTGATTCTTGTATATATATATATATATATTTTTACTGCATGTAATTGTTATGTATGCTAAAATACTGTTCTTTAATTTATTTCAATCAGATGTTTTCATAAAAACAATGTTTGTTTACTTGTTACTTTTGTTAAGAATGTTTGACAATTTAAGATTATTAATTCACATATTGTATTCTATTTAAATGTAGGCCTAATAACGTTACATAATGACGCTGCACGGACATAAAGAATATGAGAATGACGACACATCATCTACATTAACAGTAAAACAACCTACCACACATAGTTTAACTCATTTCAAGTTCGAGAAGTTTGATGCTACCAAAGAAACATGGGGTGTATTTCATTTGGTCCAAAATCATTTGGTCCAACAGTTGTAAAACGGTTCGTTTTGTCCAAAATCGTTTGGTCCAACAGTTGTAAAACAGTTTGTTTGGTCCAAAATCGTTTGGCCGTTACGTCGTCAACCCAACGGACTGCCTTCCGAGGCCTATTTGTTGTTTTGTGTTATTTCTAAATAATTTATATGTTTGCATTTATATACACGTACATATACATATATTTATTTATATATAATATGCTTGTGTCCTGTTTACTTTTTATCCCCAGTCAATCTTAAAACAACGCGTTTTAATTCCCTAGATTTGTGGTTAAACATTGACTTTGCTTTGAGTTTGCATTTAATTTTAAACAGAAAATTGAGTGGGCCCTGTAGAATAATATTATTCCCAGAGATCCTTAGGGGATGTCCCTGATACTGTTTGAAGTTCTTCCAAGCTGAAAACAATCTTAAATATACACTAACTCTACTTTGCGTACTACCACACTAATTTTAGTGTTGTACTTTCAATGTGTATCTTTTGTAGTGGCTTCTTATTTACTATGTTTACCAAAACTCTTTTGAATGAATTTGTATGATACCAAGAATGAAATACCAAGGTTATTGAGAACTATGGAAATATATAACAATGGATTTATTGCGCTGTATTACTTTTACATGAAATGACAGAATGCTGGATTTGTTTACAAACAATTATCCATTCAATTAATATTTGAAAGATTGATTTTATTCCTCAGACTTTGAGTGCAATGGCTATTATTGCATTTGTTCTACTTAAAATTTCTGAAATGATCCCTCGGTAAGAGAAGCGTTTGATGCGGTTACGATTCGATCACGGCAATGACAATGGGGTGTGAATTAATTTAATATTGAGATGACCAGTACTAAAAATCCTTCTCATTGGCAAAAAAATATCAATTGAAGGTCGTGTCTTGTAGTCCAACTCGTTACACAGTGAAACTGCTTGTAACTCAATATAATGTGTTGAAAGATTATTTATTGCTAAACAGTACTATGTCGTTCATCTATGGTAAAACACACACGACCCCATATGACGTTGTCGCACCTTTCTCGAACCTGCTATCTACTTCAACTTCCGATTAAAAATTCTTTTAATCCCCCAAATAAATAACAATAGCTGTCACACTCTCAATGATTCTTTGTTTGAATGGAACGGCAAAGTAAAAATAATAATTTTCCAAATACTTATGCTACTATAAAATTCTTAGCAAGTAACTCTGAATTACTCTACAAAAACATTTTCACTTATTTAATTATTGTAAGGTTATCACTGTTTACTATATAATACTGATTGATTGGCTAAAAATGGATATAAAAATCACCAAGGAGAACTTTAACCTGGAAACATGTGCTTATATAACAAGAAATAACAGACTATAACATGAAAGTATACCACATGTGCGACTCACTGAAAATTATAACTATTACAATAAAGAACAAAGATTACTTACAAATTTGGACGTCCGACACTTAAAGACACACAGGGATGGAAAGGCAAAACGAAATTAGGCGAGCTTTACCCAAAAAACGCGATTGAATTGATTTGGTTGACGAAACGGGAAATTTCCACTGGCGATTTGTGCTAGCCGGCAAAGTTAATTTACGACACTTGTTTCTCAAAAAAATTGATTTTATTTCCAACTCGCGCGGCAATCATATCCCTTCGGGATATAGGCCTAACGATTTGATGAAAATATGAATTGACCGACTAACACCGCAAATGAATTTAATTTGCACGAAACGATTTTTAGCTCACCTAATCACGGAGAGGACGGGAAGCGACTGACAGACGGTCTGCCTGGCTGGGCCGATAGTTCACCCCTTCCACTCGTAGCATGTGCATTGTGGGTATCTTCGTCTATTGTCTAACCAGCTGACCCAAGGCGTATGAAAGAAGGTGTGTGCATAGTGACGTCAGTGCGAGCAAAACGTGTTTTATTTTACTAAATCATATGTTTTCTTGTAATTTTCCAAAGACTTTAGAATGACAATCATTACGAATCAGCATTAAATATATAACACTATTCAGTTTGATATATCCAATATAGCATTGTATTCAACATTGAATATACTGTAGTAGTGTTATACATTTCATAGTAAGTACCATTTAATCGAAAAACAGTAAAGCAGTAGCAGTAAATACTTGATACGTATACTTTGATACTTGATACCCTTTTATTTTGCCAAATCACTTGTTTTCTTGTAATTTCCCAAAGACTTTCGAATGACAATCATTACGAATTAACATTGAATATATAACACTATTTAGCGTTTTATATCCAATATAGTGTTGTATACAATATTGATTATACTCTAGTAGTGTGATATAGTATATTCAATTGTGGTAGTACATAAAATTTTGATAGTGAGTACCTTTAATCAAAAAACAGTAAAGCAGTAAATACTGTAACTGTGTCTGCCTAACAGGCAATATATTTTTAGGTGACCATATACAAATAATTTCTAATATAATACCTTTTTTGCAGATCCTACTTATGTTTTTTATAATTGAAAATCTCTCATTTAAGTAGCCTTAGTGGAAAATAAATAGTTACAAATAAATTGACAAGATTGTCCTTCTTCTAATATTATAAATGAGAAAGTTTGGATGTATGGATGTGTGGATGTATGGATGTATGTTTGTGACAAGTGAACACGAAAAATACTGGTCGGATTGGGCTGAAATTTGGCATGATGATAGCTCACATTCCCGATTAACATATAGGCATATTATTATTTCAAAAATCCTTTCAGGCTCCGCCCCAGTGGCTCTGGAGTTTCCAATGTTAACCTTATGAGAAATGGAATTATTATTGAATCTTAACAGCTGTTTCAATTAAACAAGTTGGTTCTGTTCCATGATGTTCAGTAGCATTAAATTTACAAGGATTACCAACAGGGTGCAGCACTATTATTTCTTTTACATTTATGACAACAGCTAATTTGCAACCAAAAGGTGAGTGAGCGTAGCGAACGAACCTCAACCTTGAGGCGAGTAAGCGTAGTGAACGAGCTAACCTGAAGGCAAGTGAGCGCAGCGAACGAGCACCAACCTAAAGGTGAGTGAGCGTAGCGAACAAACTTCAACCAGGACGTGATTGAGCCATGCGAACGAGATAATCTTAAAAATTAAGAAGTTAAACGGGGCAAAGCCCGCGGGTTACAGCTAGTATTTACATATATTTAACAAAAACAGCACACTAAACCCAAGTACTAAACTACTAAACCGGTAGGGAACCCCTCGCTTCAAACTATCGTTTTTCTTAATAACTTCAAAAATTTACTAGAAGCTTACCGAATAGCCTCTCTCATTTTGCGAAGTGGGAAATCGAGACCGCAGCAAACGATCACGAATACAGGACGGACCACAATCGCAAGAAATCATCATGGCTGTTGCCGCGTTACGGAAAATCATTACGAATCTCGCTGCAATTAAGATTTGATCAGAGATATGGACGCAATCACAAAAAGGCATATAGTCATGGATGCTGAGATAATCGCGGATGTTGCCGCGATTGTGTAAGACGCGAATAACGGACTGCAATTAATTATTATGGCGTTGCCAACATCGCAAGCAACGATCAAACATGGCTATATGTATTGTTTTTAAGTGGTTGGTGGCCTTTTATTGAATTTTCCATATAGGGAATAAGCTATTACCGTAGTATTAATGGTAAGACTTGGACCCGGGATGGCAAGGCGTATATTCCGGGACGGCCACTGAAGATTCCTCAACATTAAGTTGTAATTAGTTGGCAATGCCGATTTGCGCTGTTTTTGGATGTGGTAATTCTAACAAGAAAAGTAGTTTCATCGGTTCCCAAAAGAATCTGGATTGCAAAACAAACTGATTGAAGCATGCAAAAGACAAGAAAAGATAAACATAAAATCGGGTAAATAATTTATTGAAAACATTATTATTATTTAATTAAATTATAGACCTAACTAATTTAATTTAAAATCTTTTGTCGTTACTGTACGCGATTCACTAACGATTGTTTTTGAACCCACAGATGGATTTGAGCAAGGGTATCAAGTATCAAAGTATACGTATCAAGTATTTACTGCTACTGCTTTACTGTTTTTCGATTAAATGGTACTTACTATCAAATGTATAACACTACTGCAGTATATTCAATGTTGAATACAATGCTATATTGGATATATCAAACTGAATAGTGTTATATATTTAATGCTGATTCGTAATGATTGTCATTCTAAAGTCTTTGGAAAATTACAAGAAAACATATGATTTAGTAAAATAAAACATGTTTTGCTCGCACTGACGTCACTATGCACACACCTTCTTTCATACGCCTTGCAGCTGACCATTTGTTCGCGTCTACTCATATTAATTTGTGTACATTACAAGTAATCAGTACAAAATTTTAGTTTCAGGAGAGTTGAAAAATGGAGAAGTCTTGAGGGAAGAGTTAAATGACCATCTAAAACACATTCGAATCTGTACATTGTCTGGCCAAGATTTGATGACTCAAGTGGTACCTTTCGAAGTGCTTACGTATGGTGAACTCAAGTTGATTGGTGAAACTCAGAGAACTGAGAAAGTACAGCCTGGTTTGACATCAGTCTGCAACAAGATTGTTAAGAGGGAAGGACCGTTGTCAGAATTGATGGAACAAAGATTGAACCTACCTAATTGCAATGGTAGCGTTAGTCGATCGCTAATAACTATCAATACTAAAGCAGTCACAATAGAGTTGTGCTCAGTAAAGCTTTGCAGCTCCAGTACAAATCAACACCTATGCAACTGCAATATAACAATACGAAATAGGAGAGAACCCCCTACTGAAGTGAGATATCAAGGACTGATCGATGGAGCTTCCAACAGGGACATTCCAATTATTGTTGATGACACGAGAAATGTGCGTTTGTCTCCAAATTCAACATATTCAGTCAAATTCGTATTTTCTTGTGGACAGACTCATAACCATTACTCTGGGAGGTCAGGAGTAGAAAATGGGAATCACCTTGACATTCCATACCGTTATTCTAATTTTGGATACTATTCTTTTCCTATAGACACAATATGTTACAAAACAGTACGGACAGGACAATGATGAACAATGGTGATCTCTGAGGGGTAAACAACTTGACAATGTCGAAGAAATGTTTTTATGTGTCATTTATATCAGTGGACAGAATATTCAGAAACATCCAACACAAAAAAAGTGATATATTCCTATACTTTATTTGATAATATCTTGTGTAATATGATCAAAAAATAGTTTATTAATTAAGAAAAAAGTCTTCTTACATTTTAAGTGACATTATTTAGTTTTTCATCAATTTGACAAAACTTGTATTCTTGCTACAACACAATTTTACTCTCGATGTTTATTCTAGAATCACAGAAACTATTTTTTAAGACTAAAGTGTTCCTTTTGGAAAACCCGGCAGCCAGTAGGGACAAGCATCGATAGTCAATGTTTTTTACATCGATGGTAAGTTACCGATGTTTTGGTCCAAGTATTGAAATATTGATATTTTCCACAACTGAATTGTATTATAGTTTTGTTAAAAAATGTAAATGTTGGTCCTAGAAATTGATTTTTTTTATATTCATTCTATTGAAAGTTTTATGAAATATCACATCCAAAAATATCATGAACTGGACTAGACTTAAGACAAGTGTAGAGTGAGTGAGTGAGATAACTATCTAAATAAACACATTTGAGAGATGCTTGTTCTAAATGCTATGCTACCTAAAAATAAATTTATTTGTAGTACATTTCTGTGGCAGCACTCCTGCTCTCCAGCATAATAAATGAATATACCGATATTACGTCTTGCAAATGTGAAAGAGAAACTGGCAATGTAGAACGTCTAGCTAGCAGTATAAACTAACCTACGTAAGGGAGTGTGTTAAATCAATGCTAGTTGTGCCTAAAATCTCCCCTTCAATTTATCACTTTGTTTACTATTGTTGAGCTCATAAAAACAAATAATTAAGTAGATTGAAGTGTTTATGTATAGCATAGTAACTGAGAAAATAAAAAAAACTGCAAAATAAAAATGTCTGTTATTCTTTTGGTAGTTTGCTTGTTCATTTATTATTGCTATTATTTCATTTATTTATTGTTAATTTTCAATGCAAAATTTTGAAATTCTCAGTATCAAGATTATCAATTTTAAAAATCAATGAAAAGGCTAAATAGTGGCTATGTGAGTAACCATTGACTTACAGATGATTTAAATGTGACACTGTATTTTGATTTCTAATGAACCCAGAGATAATGCCTTTAAAGGTTCAATAAACTGCCAATTATCAATCACTGCGATTAGGGACTTGGGGTGCCTCCTAGGTGCGTATTTTAACTCAAATATGAGTGAAGGATGGTGTGAGATGATCTATGTAGCTTTTATACTAAGACTAGCGAACCTGGCGCACGTAATCGTAATCAAGACATAGGAGAAGAAGGATTAATATTGATTTTTATTGGGCGTTTTCTGGTTTCTTGTTTTTGTTGAAATGTGGAGATGGTAAAAGGCCAAATTGAGTTTGCAGTTTACGTGCTGTTTCTGCAGTTTTTTTGTTGTGAAAGACAGTAAAAGATTCTCTTTTGATTAATCTATGATAACCTAAATAATAAACCAAAGCCCCTCGTTCCCAACACCAACTCTGGCTTAAGTCTGGAACTTATTTGCCAGGCCGATTCCGTGTGAAAAAATCTTTCTTCTTAGGCTTCGGCCACCTTCAATCCTCGTCCAGACACACTATGTGTCCAAAACCCTAACAGCATTGCTCCCTTTTCCTCTAACACCCTGAGCGATAGGGATCATTGAGATTCGGTCTAACCTTTCCTCTACCCATCATGGGAAAGTATTCATTCCTTTTCTTTCTTTGTTTTTGTTTGTTTCTTTTTTCTATTTAAAAGCCTGTATGCCAGTATGTATCCTTGTTTCTACCTATTTACCTACTTTCCTATATGTCACAATTGTTTCCTTGTCTCTCATCAAGGTTTATTTTCTTGTTTTCTGACGTAGCCCTACCCACGGCCTTTTAAAAAATTATGTACATTCTGTGATTATTGTTTTTTTTTTATGATAAATTGCTTTTGATTTTATTTCATTTTCTTATTGTATCTTGCAGGACAGATTCCATTAAACAATTCGCAGTGCTCGAGGTTAATTTAGCGACTTGAAACAAAAACATTTAATGATAATTTGACTGAAAACTAGTTTACATTAGTATGTAGGTACAACTAGTTGTATGTACAACTAGACATAGGTAAAGGTGGACGTAGGTACAACTAGTCGTAGGTAGAATTAGTCATGGATACAACTAGATGCAGACTTATAAGGTAAAATTTGACACTAGCGTAACTGTCAAGTTGAACCTCTGGAGATTTTTAAGAGAGACGAACTAGACAGGTGCGCCACCATAAATTTGTATCTACAGATTTTGGACGAGGTATAACGTGACGCCTGTCGCCAAAATGCAGCAGGTACAACTAGACACCGGTATAAATACGAGTAGATGGCGACGCAACTAAAGTAATCTTTAAATCTAGTACAGTACCATCATAGGTGAAAAAATATGGCTTTTAAAAAAAATATTTTAGTAAAAATTTCAATTATGCAATTTAAAATTTGATTTGAAGGTTTGCTGCGACAAGGGTATTTTGTGGTTTCAGTCATTGTTAGCATAATTATTTTGTAGTTTTTACTCTTTTTACCCAAAATATAAATTTCAGTTTCAGGAGAGTTGGAAAATGGAGAAGTCTTGAGGGAAGAGTTAAATGACCATCTTAAACACATTCGAATCTGTACATTGTCTAGCCAAGATTTGATGACTCAAGTGGTACCTCTAGAAGTGCTTACGTATAATGAACTCAAGTTGATTGGTGAAACTCTGAGAACTGAAAAAGTACAGCCTGACTTGACATCAATCTGCAACAAGATTGATAAGAGGGGAGAACTGTTGTCAGAATTGTTGGAACAAAGATTGTACCCCAATAATTTCAGTGGTAGCCAAAGTCAATCAACAATAACTATAAATACTAATGCAGTCGCAATAGAGTTGTGCTCAGTAAAGCTTTACAACTCCAGTCAACATCATCACCAATGCAACTGCACTATAACAATACAAAATGTGACAGGACCACCTACTGAAGTGAGATATCAAGGACTGATCGATGGAGATTCCAACAGGACCATTCCAATTATTCTTAATGACACGAGAAATGTGCGTTTGTCTCCAAATTCAACATATTCAGTCAAATTCGTATTTTCTTGTGGACAGACTCATGACCATTACCAAGGGTCGCCATCAGTAGAAAATGGGAAACACTTTGACATTCGATACCGATCATTTTTAGGTGGATACTATGATTTCCCTATAGAAACAATATATTACAAAACAGTACGGACAGGACAATGATGAACAATGGTGATCTCTGAGGGGGAAACAACTTGACAATGTCGAAGAAATGTTTTCAGGTGTCATTTATGTCAGTGGACAGAATATTCAGAAACATAAACACCAAATAAAAAGTTATATAATCCTATACTTTATTTGAAAATATCTTGTGTGATAGGATAAAAAAAATACTTTGTTAATTGAAAAAGAAATTTTTACAGAACTGTTTCAGTCCCTTGTGAGCCTCTTACTTTTTGTGAAGTGACATTTTAATTTAGTTTTTACTCTTCATCAATGTGACAAAACTTTACTTCTTTCAAAAGAATGTAATTTTTGTTTATTTGTCGTCAGAGTGCACCTTTATTATCTATTGTGGTTTTTTTGTCAGTAAAAAGACTTGTTAAATTTGTAAGGCTTAATTTTGCATTTATTTTCACACAAAAATGTTCTAGAAATTTGTATGTATGTTGCTATTCCATGCTATTCTATAAAAATATTGTTGTAGTAAACTGTACAAATTGTACTCTGTAGTGTAAAATGTAAAGAAAAATAAAAAGATAAGCTCTCTACTTTTATATATTTAAATATATTTACTCCTTGCAATGCTCTCAAAGTGAATTCTTTACAAATCTTGGTTGCCCCTAGGTTGGAAGAACTTGGAAAATAATAATATAAGACAGAGCTCTGGCAGTGGAAGCTTGGTGTTAAAAAATATTTAAGTGGGCCCTGTAAAATAAATATTATCCCCCGAAGTCCTTATGGGACGTCCCTGGTACTGTTTGAAGTTCTTCCTGACTGAAATACCCCTAATATGAAGCTTAATAAACAATCTTAATCTACACTGAATTTAATCTGCTCACTACCACACTAGTATTAATTTAGTGTTGCACTTAAAAGGTGAATCTTTTGTAGTGGCCTATGATTTACTGAACTATACCTTTATTGCACTGGTAAATAATATTGCTAATAATGAATTACCAAGGTTATTGAGAACTAAAACGTGAGTAACAATTTGATTTATTACACAATACTTATGAATGATACATTTGATTTTGTTTTGACAATTACTTATTTTGTTTGTGTGATACTGAATGACTTTGAGTGCTACAATCAATTTGAAGTCTTTTGCTTAATAATGTCAAATGGACCTATCAAAAGGGAAGTTACGGCGCGGCTACACACTGATCACGAACGTGTCAACAGAGGGGTGATATTTAATTTAACGTTTTAGATGACCAGTACCAAGCAAATCCTGTTCGTTGGCCAACGAATTAAAAAATGAAGGTCGAGTCTCGTAGTCCAACTGATCAAACAATGTTGCGTTTAATCGTAGTAGTATGTATTAGAATATTGCTTATTATTTTATGGCTAATTAGGTACTTTGGCGGTTCATCTATTAACAAACTGTCACAACCTCCAATAACACTTCCGCATCTAGTCGAACCAGCTACCTACTCCCACTTTTGATATTATTTAAATTTTCCCCAAATAAAATACTGACTGTGGCACTCTTAAATTACCTCTGTTTGATACTTCAGCAAAATTAAACGATGACTGTTACTAATCTGTATAAGTAGAATAATTTGCAATTTACATTCACTATGAGTACAAAATCCTATACAATTTAATTTATCCTATATATTTAGAGAGTCACAATATAATAAATGATGCAGATTGATTTACAATAAACGGATATTAAAAATACTGATGGAAGCTGCAACCTGAGAACATGTGCTAATAAAACAGGAAATGACAAACTATAACAAGAAAATTTTACACATGTGCGACTAACTGAATTATAATATTTAACAATAAATAACACAAATTACTTACAAACTTTGGACGTCCACAAAAACACTGACATAAACACAGGGATGAGGATGGGGAATTGTAACTAGACGGTTTTCCGAAAAAAAACGCGATCGATTTGATTTCGTGTGACGAACGTGAAATTTTCAAATGGCGGCTCGTGTTGGTCGGTAAAAACGAACTTTTGACACTTGTTTCGCAAAAAAACTGATTTTATTTTCCACTCGCGTTGCAATTATATCCCTTCGGGATATAGGCTAAACGATATTAAAAAAATAAAGATTTTATTCGACCAACACCGCGAAATGAATTTAATTTGCACGATACGAAACTTTTCCCGACTAGCTACAAGGAAGGCAAAGGACAGACGTTGCTGGCGGCTGGGGCCCTACCCCTTCCACTTGTGTGGTTAGATAGCATTGTGGGTATCTGATCAGCTGACTATTTGTAGCGTCTGCTACATTAATTCGTTGTATTATACGACGAATCGGTACAAAAAGCAAAAGAGCA